TTAATTGAAAAAGACAACTTCCGAGCTAGGAATATGTCCTGTGTCTCGGAGGACATTACAAACATTCGTGAAACGGACACAAAGAACTTCCAGACTCAGAACATAATTTGTGGATCATACACAGTGTTGTCCCATTTCGGGATCGAAACCGATCGCCACGCCGCTTCCTACTGTCCTAAGTGTTATACTCAGGTCAGTAGGAAGCGGCGTGGCGATCGCTTAAACCAATTCATCCATGCAATCAGCCAGTTTGATACTAAAAACTCAAGTAACGGTCGTTAATTCCTGTAGTCAATTGGTTAAATTCATTTTGTGGATTTAAGTACTCTCCTTGGCATATAGAATAACATTTTACTACAGTCGAATAATAAATTTTACACACAGGTTTTTGTGTAGAACAAAATATGAAAGGTAGGCCCAATTACCGTAACTGTAATTGCACCCTATCATTAACAGGATCGTTAGAACGAGAGAACAACTACATAATGACTGGACCTCGCGGTGATTTTCATTTAAATACATTTTTTTATTATCTTTAAGCGACTATTTCGTTTATTAAAGAGTTATAGCCGTTTAACCTGCACTAAATGTATTGTTTATTCAAATTAAATTTAGGGCCGGTTTTTAATCACCAGATAGTACTTAAGGTCGGTGGTTTATTTTTCCGACATTTAATTACAAGAATAATAACTTATATGTACACTCAATAAACACCCAAAGGGCAATCGTATACACAATACATTTTCAATTTACTTTAAAAGATCAAAACTATACGTGGGTTAATGTGTACCTATCTAAAATGCAGTTTTTGACATAACATATCATACTAATATATTTTTTGTATTATTAATACATTTACATCAAAGACAATATAATCAATCATGAGGACTTAGAAAAAAACTATTAATATTGTGGCGACTCCCACATACAAAAAACAGAAACATACTACAACGCCATCTAATGAAGACACACCGAACTACGGAGTAACTACTTAAATAAGAATTGCTAATCCTGTATCGCGATATAAAGAATTCCCTCGCCGGTTAGCATATATACAACTTCCCAACATCAACTGTTGGGCCGCGGCCCGCCAGGCATGATCACCTCGCCTGGTCGGAGGATCCTCCCTTTGTGTTGGAGGGACATGACACCCGTTCCTCCACAGTGGTGACCCCGACGTGATTGGAAGCAGCCTTCAAAAGGAGCAGATCATCAGCAGCACCATCGTGTACACTCCCACAGCCATGAGCAGTAATCAAGTCTCAGCCAGCCGGTAACCTCGGCCTCTACAGGGATACCACACGCAGGTAGCGAACGCTCCTGCCTGGTTACCTCTACGGCCTCATCAGCGTCTAGGCACAGCACACTGCACCTACGGTCCACGTAAGAAGAGCATTTTCTCTCTCGTCTACGCAGCAGCCAGCCACTACGCAGCAACCACCCCGACTCACTGGGGACTTCATCGCAGCACCGCGCACCGCACGCCATCCCGACTCACTGGGATCAGCGGACTTCAGCCCCGACTCACTGGGGCTAGCGGCGCTCAGTTCCGACTCACTGGAACTAGCGGAACTCAGTTCCGACCCACTGGAACTACTCACTACTGGCACTGGCACGCTCCACAACGGGGCATAGACAGCTGACTCATCATATATCGACCTCCGGTCTTGGAGGGGAGTGATGTGGCGACTCCCACATACAAAAAACAGAAACATACTACAACGCCATCTAATGAAGACACACCGAACTACGGAGTAACTACTTAAATAAGAATTGCTAATCCTGTATCGCGATATAAAGAATTCCCTCGCCGGTTAGCATATATACAACTTCCCAACATCAACCGTTGGGCCGCGGCCCGCTAGGCATGATCACCTCGCCTGGTCGGAGGATCCTCCCTTTGTGTTGGAGGGACATGACACCCGTTCCTCCACAATATCTTCAATCTTCGCTGCTTCACTGATTGAAAGGTTTTGCTCAAATATATTCCTGCTAACATCAAATGTATGATAATTCATTTTGATATGTCATAATGATCATTCATGATAATTCATTTTGTTATATATATTAAATTTAATTAATGAGGGAAAAGTTATCAAAGCGTTTGCAAAGCGCAAGATACCTAGATCTAGTAGTTAGCCAATCAACATTTAATTACTAATGAGAAGCATATTTAATATTGGCAATGAGGGTAGGTCGTATTAATTTAATACAGTCAAAACTGACTCAATAATAGTCGTTCATTATTTACCTACTTACGACTGAATTAAGTGTTAGTACTATGTTTGACTTTTATTGCATGTTGTGATCTTCTGTGATTATTGATAGACCATATCAATCATTTGTGAATTATCATGAATGCCATGTGATATTCTTGGTGAAGATCCATATAGTAAATGAATTAATAATAAATAAATGATACTGATTTAAGTTGTACATGAAATTTATAAAAATACCATTTTATCGGGATACTTTAGTAATGTTAAGACTGCACGGATGGCGTAGTGGTTTAAGCGGTCGCCACGCTCACTACTACGCTGAGTGATGTGGGTCCGATCCTCACATGGGACTACACTTTGTGTGATCCACAAATTGCTGTTCTGAGTCTGGATGTCCTTTGTATCCGTTTCATGTATGTTTGTAATCCCCCGCGACACAGTATATATGCCTAAGTCGGGAGTTGTCTTTAAAAAAAAAACATTATTTAAACAATGAACAACCAATGACCATTAGACCACTAAAGACTCGTAGTGTACATATATAAAAATGACGGTCATTAGCTACTACGAGGATTTTAAAACTATTTTTAATGGATACTAATAATGTAGAATGGTTTTAAAACAATAATAATGCAATGATATATACTTACTGGAATAACACACACATGTAACCTGACCAAGTATTCTGTTTACTATGCGTAAAATGAAGGGCTATATTGCTAAATGCTTCGTAGAGAACGTGGTTGTAAACTACAAAGCTTTGGTTACAGTTATTGAAATTTACTAATCACATAAAATTCGTGTTACCAGAAAATTGGCAGTTAAACTTTTAATTGCATGATTGACTGAAACTCTCAAACATATTAATTACTCACAAAGCGTTATCATATTTACATATGTTAGTTGTAGAATATAATAGGGCCGCGGTGGATTTTAAACTATTCTACTTGAGAAGCACCTCCGTCCTCTACTTTTATAATAACTAGAGATCAACTTTTATTCATGTCAGCCCTCTTACCAAGTATGTATAAGATTTATCGGTGAATTTCATGTTCAATTTGTCTTTCTCAAAGTACTTGGTACTTTATATCTATCAAGGGGTCTATTATACGACACTAAAATACTTACTCATTTCTAAAATACTTTGTAAACTTCGCTTAAGCCCAAATTGAATCAAATTTCCAATTACACTGAGTAACTACCGCATAACAAAGTAGCAGTAAGTTATATTCATCGCGAATGTCCTTTAGCTAATAGTATAATTGCGCCGGCCAGCGTTCAGGGCAGAGATAGAGATCAGCAGCCAAGAGGTCACCTGCTTGCACTGTGTTTTACTGAACTATTCATCAGGCTTGCATAACTGGGCAGACTATTCATAGTCAAGTTATTTATATTAAGCTAATAAATAAAGTAGTATGTAGGTTCCTATTTATTATACACTAATTGGTTTTTATATTCTAAATATCTTATATGTCATCTTAGATTAATGTATAGCTTAAATTAAAGCACCTACTTCTTTCAAACCAAAGAAAATCATTTCGATAAAAGTCACATAAATACATCAATCAATATTTAAATATGAAATTTGCAAAAAATTTTACGGCTAATGCGTAGGTGTGATTCAAAATACATCGTTATTTAAAGATCTGAAGGATTAGCTAAGAAATATAATAGTCTACAAAAGAAGTAGTCTGTGTTGCTTGGAGAATGCAGAGAATGCAAAGCATTTTTTCTATCCATACGAAACAACAAGTTTGGTATAATACCCTTCTCCACAATAAAATTACACCATGTTCATTATAGTTGTTTTGTTAATGGTAGACTAAGGATTGCGTATAAGATATAAAGAATCGTAAAAATATATTGAGTATTATATTTTACACAAAACTGTAATTTACTTAAAATTCTTTACAAATTAAATAAAAGTTCTTTTGATAACAAACATTGAAAAATTAAAAAATAAATAAAATAGAATGGTGTCAAGTCTATGAATACGGCATACATTTAACGTCAGCGAGGTTCGATGAGTGAATAATATTATATAGAATTATCTTGAAACGAGGTCCATAAATAACGTTCTAGTTCATTTTTGTGCGTTGCTTCTGAGGTTGAGGTCAACTCTTAATCACTGTTCCTGACCAAATAATTGATTGACTCCATTCTTTGTTTGCTATTTAGTATTATGACGAATGGTATGTAGGAACAGTAAGCAGTAAATTTGTTATAAAGGTTAATTTTGAGTCATAGTATCTACTTTAATAGGCCAACATAGATATCATAAGTGTTACCAACTCACCTGTTACTAACCATTAGGTTAAATTGTCTAAAATACACAGCTAGACGAACTAAAGACTTAATAGTCTTTAGTTCCTATTAGTTCATAGTTACTGGTTCAATGAAATGACTTGTCTGTGGTTTAGTACTCCTTTACACAGTAATCTTTTCAATTACATGATTTTGGATTTGGTTCCAAGAGCAAAGAGATTAGAAACTATATTTATTACTCAAGGTTTGTTTTTACACCTAATCAAGACAACTAATTATTACCATCGCTTCCAATATATCTGTCATTGTCTTCTAAAATCTGCTGTTTTAAAACAGCAGGTTTTTACTGTGGTTTTTACTAATATGTATGTGTGTAGGTAGGTGTAAGTTAGTAAAAACTTTTATTAAACCGTTTTGTATATATAATACATATACCTACTTAAACATTTTGTATGTATGTGACTATATTGAAACACACTACATTAGAAATAGATGAAATTAAACATATGTAACATTTTATTTCATATCCTTAGGAATTTTTATTTGCACCCAATCTAAATTTTCATCATGTGCTTGTGGTAAATGCTTTTCGACTTGTACCGCTGAAACATTAAGAAATATATTTTTTTAAAGTATTACACAATACAACAACTATGGTCTAGTAACACAAATACGAGATAAGTGTGTATCAACACACTAATTATACCTAATGCGTAAGATGTCAAATCCAAATAAAGTGAGGTAAAATAAAAGACCACGATTTTAAAATAGTATTAAAACACAGTACAGTTTTAAGCAATGATGAATTAGGTACTATTAATAACTTGAAACATGTCACACGACCATGTCCCAAACTAGGCTTAGCCTGTACATACATACGTATTATACATATACTATACATACGTTTTATAGATATACTACAAACAGAAACAGAACATACGATTATTTTTATCACACCGTATTAGTCCTGAGTGGAAATGGAATCCTCGATTTATGGCTTAGCCGATGAGATCGCTAGCCACTAGAGCAACGGGCCAGTTTAATACAAAATATATCCTTAAATAACATAATTATCATCGATTAAATATTTTGTGTCTTCAAAGTGCAGTGAAATTTCGTGTACTCGTAAATTATCATCAAATTTTAAACAATATCCGCATTAACTTAAATATTGCGTAATTACACTGTTATGTACGTACCTATATGTTATCCTAATTAATTAGGATACTTACACTATAAAACAACTAATACGCCGTTAAAACTTCCATCCCCATTCAAATGAACATCACTTCTGAATTCAACATTTTTTATGGTTAGTCTATGAGTGTGTTCGAACACTACGCATATGGCCTATCTGTCTATAATATATAATGTATATATGTCAAAGATCTATTCCATTAAAAACATAATAAACTATTCCTGGGTTTGAGCAACGTGACATTGTAGCTTACACCAAAAGATATATTTATACTTATAATAATAATAAATCCTTTATTGTGACAAAAGGTGCATACAAATCAAGTGCAAAACCCTGATTCCCAAACTAGCGTGAGCTATTATTATGTTTTCTCATTTCACCTACAATTCAAATTTCGGCTCTCTTTAGAGATAAGCAAAGAGCCTTTGTTTGACTCGAAACTAGTTGGACATTCAACTTTAAGTACATTTATTTTTAATAAACAATAACAATAATTAACCTATTTTTATTAAAACAGTAACTAACCTTTTTTCAATAGTTGTAAAATGTCTCCAATATTTCGTACAGTGCCGATTCGGGAGACACCGTGTTTCGGAGTTGATGACGATTTTGTAAAGCCACTGCAGGGTGTATTAGCTATAAAAATAACATTTTTTAATAGTAGAGACGTGTTGTTATGAACACACACAGGACTAGACGATGGACTTCACAATGCTTCTACAATCTACTTCCCCTATGAATTGATGCAGACACACAAGGTCATGTTTTATTGCATGTTCACGTTCTCACGTAACTCACGTTTTCTTATGGTTTATTGATATTGCTTAAGTTATGAACTCTAGTAATTAATGATTATATGTAGATAGACTGTCTACCATGAAAAAGTGCATAATATGGTCTAGACAACTTTTTTTTACACAATTGTCAAAAAAGTTTTATCGCAGATGGCCTAATACGTAATATAACGTTATTGTCAAGTTATTATAAAGTTATTATCTTACTTGTAGCAGGTGAGGTGTTCTTTAGTAGTTTTTTTTCCAGGTCACTTAATGCCTTATTTAAATCATCCATGTAGACTGGTCTTTTTCTTGGGTCTAGAGTGGTTTCTGAAACTTTTGATGGATCATTGAGGTGGCCGCCCACTTTTTGATCTGACCATCAAGGTTTATCATTGTTCAACATGAGAAGGTTTGTATAAATTTTAATATAAATATAAATTCAAGAAATTAATAAAAAAGTTCTGCATAATAATATTTGTGTGGTGAAAGAAATCATTATCCTAAATGTTAATAACATGACCTAGTAACCAGTAGCATATATCTAGGTATACGAGATTTCTACCTTCCAAAAACCAAACCACGGCGGCCGATACGACGACCAGCAGCTGCACGCGGAAGGTGGTACACGTGACACAGCGTGAGCTTGCGCAAAAGAGCAACCGAAAAAAAAATATGGACCCGACCAAAAAACAAAGCGAGCCGCAGTAGGATACTGACCACGCAGCGGTCGGAGAATCCCTCGGTAGTCGGTTGAGATCGGAGTGTCCGGGCACAACAATTGGGGTGCACACGTCTAGTTTTGTGTGTTCCACGACGCCGAGTCTGACCTTTTCTGGCGACCCAGTCGAGCGATCGAGGAATAGGGGGTAGAGGGCACCGACGATCGCGCACCCAACTTCACAGCCTATGGAAGGCTAAGGAATGGGATCAGAGGATAGTGACGCTAAGGCATTTTTTTCTGTGTACTCGCGGTCGTCCCAAGCCCGTAGGCGCAAACCAAAGTGCCACCGAGAAAGTCACGATGGAACTGAAAAGCCAGGGTTCGGGTCCTTCCCAGAACAGGGCGCCTGAGACCGGTTGTTGGGATGGTTTTAGTGGAAGCACCACATACTCCTGGCTCCCATGTCCTGGAGCCCGAGATCCGAAGGAATTTCCCATCACGTCTACGACAAAAAACGAAAAAGGTATACGAGATTCCTAAAAAAAGAAAGAGTAATGAAGCTAAAGCGGTTCTTATCAAAAATATATCTGTACTTATTCATTTTTAGCAATTTTTTTCACTGTCCATTCGTAAAAGGCCTGAAAAAACTTTGGGGGAGTCCTATGTCTTGCAGCGGACGTTTTTCGGCTGAGATGATGATGATGATGAAAAACTCAAATGAATGACCTGGATTTTTAGTGGGTTCAGTCGTCATAGCCTCCGTAGTGGTTTCAGGTGTCGTGGTGTATGTTGTCCCATCAGACTGCGTTGGTACAGCTATAAAATGATCAATATATAACAACATGCAGAACCGAAAGTGTTATTAATATTGGCAGTAGTTGAACTATTTCCTATCTAGATCTTATCTTAATATAACAATGATAATTTCACAATTTTCACACATGGCTATCTGATACCAAATTAAGCACAGCCTGTACTATGGCAACCAAACTAATGATAATACATACTTATATTTTTAAATATATCAATATTATAGATAAATTACAGACACAGAACAATTAATAGTGCTCATCATAAAATTATTATTAATTTACAATCGAACTCACGGTCTTCGGCTTAGCAGTTAGGGTCGCTAACCACTAGACTAGGCCAATATATTGGCGTCCGTTGACGGTGACCGTTCTGCTCGTTTGCTCCACTATAACATACAACAAAATTGTAGAATAAAAATTAAAAATACTTTCACAGAATCTAATGCAGGTAAATCAAAATTTCAACTTATTAGATTCTGGCTCAGGCTTAGTTATAATTTTACATTAGTTTCCGGTTAAAAAATAATATACGGTCCGAAAATACAGATGAATTTGATAACCGCTTATCACGCTACGTCAACCTTACGCTACGCCCTTATTTACTAGGGTAAGTCTGTTGTCGAAACAGTATTCAGAGCCCAGAAGAGGTGTGTCCGAGCAACATGGCATAGGTACGTCCGACCGATAGCTGTAAACCGTTTCTTATAAAGCTTCGTATACTGACCCTGCCATGCTTATACATTTATGAAATTGGAATGTTTATATATAGGAATTTTCATTTGTATCAGACACTTAAAGACTAACTTATACAGACAACACAAAAAAGCTATTTATAACAAAAGGTTTTTAAACAAGGCTCCAAGGTCACATACTAAATCACCAAAATCGCTTTTAGCATCCTGTAATTTAAATATGTTTAAAAACAACCGAAAACATTGCTAGTAAATAAGGCATACTATTCTGTAAAGGAATAATAGTCCACTGCGGACATAGGCTGAGAAATCTTCTTCTGAGAAAGGCCTACTATACCACGCTGGCCAAACGGGGCCAAAATTTATCACATAAAATAATGTGAATATTGACATACCTGGGGTACTCGAAGGGTCATCGTTTGATCTTGCTGAATAAAAGAAATCGTTTTTTTACTAAAGTAACGTAGTTGGAAAATAATTCTGTTTAGTATAATATTATATCACAATATAAAAGTTCGTACTGGCATGACGCGACAACTTGTTGATGGGCTGTAAATGAAATTGTTTTATTTTAACCTTTTTTCTTTGGATGTCGACTCGATTCACGTAAAGTGCGACGTTGTGGTACCGGTGTAGGTGATAAGCTTGGGTCTTGGTCAAAAAATTCTATTTGCATTTCAATTGCATGATTAGGTAACTCCGCTGAAACCAACAAATTAAATAATATATTTAATGAGGCGTATATTGCATAATATCCATTTCATTTGTTATTAGTTTATATGCTTACTTTCTTACTTATTCAGAAAATTTGTTGTAAATAAATAAAATAGACACATTTTCTTTGCTACATTTTGAAAAATAATTATTATTGTTAACTATACTTAATAGTAATTAAACAGCTTACAAGATAATAACACTGTAAAAAGTATTAAAGTTTATTTTAAAACGTATATTTTAAACCATTGATGATGTTAAACGAAATACGATATTTAATAAGAACATTTAATGTTTGATTTCGTATGGGTGTTTCTATATACATATAATATAAGCTCTGCTTAGTTTGGGACTAGATGGCATTGTGTGAAAGTGGTAGAATATTATTATATAATTATAACGACGAAAGTATGACGACAAAGAACATTAAGGCCAACACACATTAAGTGATTTATGTTATTTTATTATGCTTATACTATTTGATTTACCTGTCAATTTTCGCAATGGACTCAAATATTTATTTATTGCAAACTCAATTGCATTCATCTTCTTATTTTGTTCAAGAATAGTATCTGGAAAAAACATTCATCAGTATCATTATATATACGCCACGCCGTACGTATACTCGTACGTAGTAAATACTTACGACTACTGACTGCACAATCCTGTATCCATATAAACATAGTAAGATGTAAAATTAAAAACGTACACCTAAACATGGTGCACGAAAAGGATATCTACGTGACCATATTATTTTTAAAGTTAATAAAAACTAACGAGTTTTGAAGAATTGTTAAAATATGTGTCGTAAAATTCGAAATTATATTACATGTAAATTTCTAAACCAATAAACTTTATCAGAAATAATTTTGATAAATAAGTTATGCAGAACTCAAGTTAAAAAATAAACAAATTCCACAAGAGAAAAACTGTAACGAAAACTGTAACTTTAAAAAGCATTTATAGATTTTTATCCATTATTTTATCTTGTCATGATAACCAGTTGCTTAATTATTCTATTAGGCATTTGACCGTCGCCGGCGTGCACAGTGTCAAAGATGATTAGAAAATTTACATTAATATTTACTGTCTGTGTGGTGACGGATTATCAAATTAGCAAACTACGCAGGACAACAGCACTGCAAAGAGAAGAAAAACTTTAAACAAACCCTATTCCAACCCGTCTGGATAGCGTAGTAGTAAGCCAAAATCTTCTGTCTAAGGAAAGGTCTATGTCCAGCCAGTAGACTACTAAAGGCTGTTAATGATGATGATAATTTGACTTAATTATTTTTTCAAATATTTTATGTCATCCTTAAATGATTAAACAAACGTGCCGTAGCCACTTCTTGTAGACTTAACAAAAAGTAAAGCTACTCTAAGCGTAATGAAGTTTCCCAAGATAAAATTCACAATGCAATTACCAATACCACGATATTAAACAATTCTTTTGTTACTTTTCGCCAGGTGAGTGGTGCCGTCTGCTCGTTTGCCCCCTGTATAATAAAAAAAACGACTGCCTTAGTGGTGCTGTGGTAGCGATGGCGACTGCTGTTCTGAGCTCTCGGGTACGATTCATGGGTCGGATCGAATGTTTGTATGATCCACAAATATTTGCTTCGGAGTTTGAATGTTATCTATGTATAATATGTATATTTTTACAAAAAAAAGTATATAAGTATTCTATCAGTCAATTTAGCTTTCATAGTACAAGCTCTGCTTAGTTTGAAACTAGATGACGTTGTCTGTTAGATGTCCGAAATGTTTAAAAAAAAACGACAATTACTAAGAAAAACCATTGTAGACGAAACGTTAATACAAGAAAATGTATTTTTGTACGATGACCGTGATCATTAGTTGTAGACGGAACAGAACAGACCACTGTAAAAATCTTATCTAAACAGCTCAACTGCTATCACGTTCGTAGCTTGGTGATAGCAGTTGGCAAAATTAAATTATTTAATCAATCTACATGTGAATGACTCAATGTTAGGACACTAATGAGATGAGGTTCATTTTCATTTAAACACAAAGAGTTTTAAAATATTTATTTACATGAATATCGTATGTCAGCTTTCTCATTTGATTATTTATTTTCTTTTTTTTAATACCCTTACTTCTTCTATTCCATCGCTCACAATGTCTCCTGATTCAGTATCCATATACACGTATCGATGGTTATCTTCTTCTATATCTTGATCCATGAGGTTCTCCACATTTTGTCTTAAGTTTAATTTCAAGGGAAACTCTTCATTCATAAATATTTCATTTTTTCGATCGAGATCTTCAGAAATTTCATTTGCTGTCACTGGAACGGAAGAAAAGTTTATTCAGATAATGAGAATTCTAGATATGTAATTGTCACTTTCACGATAAGTTTCCCTTAAATCGAATATGACATATAGTTTAAAAGTACAGATATAAACTTGATTTATTACTACTAATAGGTAGGGAAATATTCATAAAATCCCATGATTTAAGAGAAACGGATGCGGAAAACGGAATTCTGAAAATACTAAAATCAAAAGTAAACCATAATCCAAAAAAGCTCTGCAAAATACAAGTTATTGTATCTGAAGGTCGATTTTAATCAAGGTAAGTCATCAAGAGTCCTAGCAATGCGGCAGTATCGATAGGTCATTAGTTCGTATCGACTGTTCACGACTCATTGAGAGCATATTTCAGTAAGTAGCTACATTAAATATTTAAAATATAGCAATTTGTTCTCAGGAGATATAAGATAACATTTAATCTAATCAATACGGAAAAAATAATAGGTCAAGACTGAGTTGGTGTTGTTATTTTTTATGCAATTTGCTTGCTACTAAAATACTAACAAAAGCCTTTTATACAAAATAAGCTTTATATCAATATAGTCGTTACTTCTTTACGACAGTTAGTTTTTAACGGTCATCGAATGTATTCTAAATAGTAAATCGTCCATGAAAAATAATAATATCTAGTCTTTTCACTATTATTGGAACTATTTCACAGCTACATAATCCTCTACAGCTACCCAAAAGCTAAAGACTAGATAGCAAAAAAACTCATATCTAAAATAACCATAATCAAACTAAACTAATAAACTGGCTTCTGAGCTGATACAACGAAAATAGGTCTGATTTACTAATCTTACCTTCTGATAAAACTCCGACAAAACCGTCCAGTCTTTCATCTTCTGGTCGATTTCTAAATGATTTTCGCCAAGTTTTAATAACAAAACTGGGAGTAGGTTGTTGGATTAGCATGTAATCTGTCAAGATAAAAAAAAAACTTTTTGGTATAAGTTATCGTGACTTACAAGAATTTCAAAGTAAATAATGTAGAACAACATTTGCATACTTCTGGCTGAATACAATTGTATAGTATTTAACTCTATATGGGGCCCATTATATTAATTAGTAATAAGCTTTGGCGACCCGGAATATTACAATTTTCTTCTAGCTCAGTTCTGACTTGGGTTAGGAGAAATCTCTTGCTTTTATTCTATCAGTGGCTCAAGATTACTTGTGAACAGGTAAGTTGAGACTCATAGAGGAAAGAACATCTAGCAGTATCCCATCATGCAGGACTGGTTGGTCAGCGACTTGACAGACTCCAACAAATGTACTTAGCACCTGCGTCTGCTTTAAAAATAGCCTGTTACTCAATCTACTCGCAAGGGTTCACATAACCAATATATACATACTTTAAGGGGCATGCGAGAAATGCAACCAGGATACTGCTGTTGCTATCCGTACTGTGTAGTCCTCATGGCTGCCGTTGGTATTGGTAGCCTCTCGATAGAAACCTTAATTAGGCCCAGAGTCCGATACGAGAGCGAGAGCATAGAAATCCGCTGCCTTAGTCTGTATTGATACGCTGTCTCATTCTCTATCTAATATGCTAAACAGACAGACGTTACAGGAAAGTGTTTTTTTTTATTGCCACTAGTGCTTGTCTGAGAGTAATGGGCAGAACTACCCATTGCCTTATCAAAAGTAGGTTCCAGGCCACGGCCTCCTTGGATGCATAGTGACAAGCCCTTGGCACCCAACGATGAGGTTTTCTCAGCAACATCATGGTGTGCCTTAGTAAGAAATATCTGTGAACTCCATCATGTTGATTTCAGTCTGATATACTACCTTGCCATTGGCTCCCGTGAAGTGATTACACGCAACAAAAAGAAATATAAAGGAACTCTTGAGCCTGTTTTAAGCCTGTTTCTTTTTGAACACACTTACATGACTCATTTGCCCTAACTGCGATTTCTTTAAGTGCCTTTGATAATTCTAAAACAAGTTTTATCCAGGCTTCTGGGTTGCTTGATAATGCTGAAACGAATACAATATTGATAAATATATTAAAACTGTGAAAATTGAACTATATTGCTTGTATGCGCATACGCAATGCTTTATCTGATGTAATTATGGAATCATATATCTTATGGAAATAATAAAAAAGGTTAAACTATAATATAGAAAGAAAGAAGATTAAACACCTTTAACTTCCCTCGGTCAATGTGTGATTGTGTGTGTAAACAAATGATAGTATACCAGTAAAAATTCTATTATTAATAGTAAAACATTAAATTGAATTAAATTTTGTTATACTGTTGTTCGTCAAAAAGAAAGTCATCTACAACAGCAATCCCGAACTGCATTAGGAATGAAATGTTTTATGAAGAAACATTATTTACGATTTAGATCTATGTAAAATTATTGACTATATTATTAATTAATTGACTGCACGGATAGCGCAGTAGTTTAAGCGATCACCTTGCCGCTTACTATTGCCGTGCGCTGAGTTGTATGGGCTTGATCCCACATGGGACAACACTTTGTGTGATCCACAAATTAATATTCTGATTCTGGGTGTTCTTTGAGTCTGTTTTATGAATGTCGACACGGAATATATTTCTACTGCGGGAGTTGTCTTTTCAAGTAAAAAAAAACTTACATGCTCTTGCCTTTGTGTCTTTAGTATTGTTATATCTGGTTTCAATAAAATTAAGTATTTGGTTTAGTATAATATTGATTTCTGATTCAATTGCATTATTATCAGATCTATTTCTTTTTTTTACATTGACACTTTCATTATTCCAAGCTCTTTTATGGATTTCGTAGTCTTTAAAAAGCGAATTATTCAACGATGTAGGCATATTAATAGTCTCAAAAGCATCAAAATTAATCACTTCAATACTTGATTTATTTGCTGTAATATTAAATATGTGTAAATGGTTACAACTGTTTAAAAATTTACAATATGCAAATAAAATAATGTTAATAAAATAATATATTATTAAACATGGAAGAAATATTTTTTGTACAAAGAAATTTTTATTTTGACTTAATTATAAATTTTGCTACATTAATGATAAGTATATTTTCATAAAACAATGTGATCTCTAGTGCAAAATTCATTCGAAAGGATAGTAAGATAGATGGAGAATCAAGAAATTTATATTTTAATTACGTTATGTCTGAGTAATGAATTGATATTTTAGTATGCATTGAGGGAACTCCGCTTTAAAACGAGCTCTAATCGTCTCAATGAGGCTAAACTAAAATATTGATGCTTTTGTATAATACTATGAAAACAAATTTTATTAATAAATTTTGTAAGCGCATTATAATAAGAGGTTAAAAATTCCTTAACCATATAAAGTAAACGATGATTAGCTTACCACTAGTAATATTAGAGTAGCGGTCTGGCAGTGACTTCCTTTCCCTCCACTGCTTACCATCGAAATACATAAAGGGTTTATCTTTAGATACTGTGGGAGGAAGAGTAAATGATCTTTGAAAATAATATAGGTAGATACCTATATTTTTTTAGTTGAATTACTTTTAATCATAAAAATTAACTAATAATATTTACTATTAAACCTTTGCAATTTAGTTAAAGACATTTTGTTTAATACTTTAAAAACTTTTTGCCCATGATTTTCAAGTGTTTCAAATTTTCTAGTATTTTTTTTTTCAAAGTGTTTTCTAGTAAATTGTTGACACAAAAGTACAGAAAACATTTAAACTAACACAGTGCTATTAAACCAGAAACCACCAGAATCAGTGTCCGATAAAATGCATAACATAGGACTTTGATAACCTTATTGGTCAAAATTGCAATGATTGACATATAACAGAAAAATGGACTTCGGTGGTCTAAATAGTAAAATACAATCGTAATATCGTAAAATACATACTACCCGAACATAATCGTAGTTTATTTTACAGCTACATTCTACATTATTAAATTGTAATTTTCTCAAGAATTTTCAATTATAAATTGAAGCAAATTTTCAAATTTTTACCTGTGTACAAACTTTGTTCTGCTTCAAGGCTACTGAAGCAAATTAAAAGTAAACTGAATTTCATATTTCCTTAATTAATAAGTTGAGTAACATTAATGCTTCCGTCACAACGTTTAGATACAAATTAAGATAGGAGATAATTGGTCGTTTCCACAACAACTGTGACAAAATTTTGTCTAGTTTTACCCTGCAACCATTTAACTGGTAGTTGAGAAATTGTTCTAAATTCTGTACTACATAATGTCGTCTACGTATCGGTACACATCTATCGACATGAGACTATTTTCAACAACTTGTGTGGTACAAATATTAAATTTAATAAGAGAATCGATAAAGTTTATTGCGGAACACAAAATTATTGCGTTCGTGGATCTCGATAGTTGTTGTTGTTTGAGAACGTACCTAATGTTAGTGTTATCGCATGCACCGGCGACAATCGTGAGCCAGCGGCCATGTGTGATATGATAACTATGATTTGCTGGAATGTGCACTACGAAATATTTTTATTCAACATGAAAAGGAAGTTAGGAGAGCACTGATTTGATCTTGTTCTAGATAGATGATGAAGGAAGGAATGAAATAAAATGAATGATAATATATTCAAATATTTAAGGAAATAACACGAGTTATGTGAGTTTATGAACTTGCCTAATTGGTAAATGTTGAAAAACAAATTTGTTATTTATTAATTATTACTCTATTGAGCACCAATAACTACTTATCTTAAAGGTATGATTGATAATCATATGTAAATATTAAATTCTGAATATGATTATTTGTTTAAGCTGTCATCAATATCAGATTTTTTATTTGACTTTCACGTCCTTCCGTTATCATCGTCAAACTATTTACTTTTTAGTTGGATCTAGCTGTCGCTTGCGAAACTGGCATCTATGAGTAAGAGTTCAGCTTATAATGGCGTCTGACTGGACTCCTTGGTTAAAAATACTATCTTTTCATGTCTGTTCTTATTCGAATGTAAAGAGATTCCATGTGTTTGAAATGACAAAACTGACAAATTTACTGTAGTGAAATCGTAATGGTTCATAATAATCATCCAATTCTAGATTCAAACCACATGTGATGCAAATAATGTTTTCAATCTTGATGATGATTATATAGTATACTTGTAAAGTGCCACGACGCATTGATAAAGATTCATTACTAATGATGTCCTTAAAAGCAAACTAAGTTGTCTATTTTTGTTGTAGCTTTAAGCTTGTTTAAAGTATCTGGAATAAATAAATAAATCTTTTGTTAATTATAGAGATTAGAATTTCCCCTCTGCCATAAAGATTACGGTGAAGCATCATCACGATCGGTAGCGACTGGCCATAGTATACGATACACATAAAATGCCATATATGTGTACAGATAATATTAATAAATATGAAAACGTTGCATTAGCACATTATTTTGGTTATCAGTGACAGTTCATGGGCGGAGTAGGTGCATCCAAATCGGTATGTACCGGTCAGAATCGTGACTAAGTTCGACCCTGTTTACTACATTAGCTACTGTTTATGTATTGGCTAAACAGAGTATAAAAATACAATGCTGGTCGTTTTTTTTTTGGAAGAAGAAGATTGGTGGAAGATCCTCATGGATGTCCTTTGCCTAGTGGGGGATGCAGATTAGAAAATACTGTCTAAGAAAGTTGAATTTGAAATGCATTTTTTTTATTATTATAGTAAATCTGTACACAGAATGTACAATGGCTGCCATAAGCATTCCCTACCAGTCTACTGTAGAGTGTTGTAGAAATGAGTGATAAGGTGCAATAGACTTTAGTTGGGAATTATACACGAATTAAAGAAAAAAGAACTAAAAACTTTTCTAATACCGTCTTGCACAAAAGGAGAGATCAATAATAAGGCGGTTTAACAATTATAATATATACGATAAACCTATTTGAAACTACTTTCAGATTTTTTAATATTTTTCTATTTATGTTCCTTTGTCATAAAATATAATAAAAAATAATGGCTTTCGATTTATAATTTTACCATATATATTCAAATATGTTGCAACGAAATCATGTTAGAATATACGAGTACATTTTACAACATTGTTTTAACGCATCCTGTGTATTCATTGCATAGTATGCAAAACATTCAACAGTTGGGTTTGGCTTTTTAAATCACATAATTATATTACATGATATCAAAATAGTACCTAGTGTAAAATAACGTTTTTTTAAACTTAGGATTCTTATATCCGCAACTTGTCTGGTGGTCCTTTATATTGAACTATAGTATTCAACAAACAGATATCTCTTCAATTAAGTTAGGCCATGCGAACCTATTAAAGGTAGTTGAATCGTTCCACCTCCTCGCCTAATCTCTATCGTTACACTGCAGGCGATCGCTATTAGCTAATTTAGGGGGATTTCTATGCAAATTTAATTACTACAGTTACTGCATGCTGCAACTAACGAAGTATACTATTAGCTGAGCCAGTATAACGATATTAATTTTACATAAAGAATCGCTATAGATTTATTTCTGCCTGGTTCTGGTTTAAAAATACAGTAAATTAAAAAATCTGATTCTAAATAAAGAAAATTCAAATCTTTAGAAAAATAATATAAAAAACATATTTAAAAAAAATCGAATTAGATGGAATGAAATTTGTAAAGCATCATGGGCTAATTTTCATGTTTTTCTAATTTCCTAACATGTATGAAAGTTTCTCTTTGAACTGGTATCTACCAGGTCGAAGATACTACTTTCAATGTGGAATACGTAAAAAAAAATGTAATATACATATATTATTATAAAAATACATGTTACTTGCACTATGGTAACTCCGACATATTTATCCATAAGTCTAAGCTATCTAATTCAGGTTAGCATCATCATCAACACGACGAGGTTATGGCCTACTATACCACGCTGGCCAGATAGGTTGATACAGGGTTTGTTTCAAGTTTCCCGCTTCCCGCGGTGGGCTATCGCCAAGCTCGACAGGGACCTACTAGAGGAGGCGGCCATTATTTACTCTTGGCTGTCTCCGCAGGCCCCGACCGAGGAGGTCGACATGGGGGCTGGTCGCTTCTGCAATGCGATTACGCAGATTTGTGATGCGGCCATGCCCCGCGTTCGTGGTTGTCGGCCTCCAAGGAAGGAGGTCTACTGGTGGTCCCAGGAGTTGGCGGACCTCCGTGCGGCCTGTGTACGTGCCCGGAGGTCCCTCACCCGTAGTCGGCGACGTCACCGCGGGGTCGGTGAGGAGGTGGACCGGCTTCATGAGGAGTACCGAGAAGCTCGGAAAACTCTGAGGCTGGCCATCTGCCGCGCCAAGGATGCGTGTAGAGAGGAGATGCTGGAGAGTCTCGAGCGTGACCCCTGGGGTCGCCCTTATCGTGCGGTGCGTCAAAAGCTCCGCACGTCGGGCCCCCCCCTTACGGAGACTCTCCAGCCCAGCTTCCTGCAGGAAGTGGTCGAGGGCCTATTCCCGCAGCGGGCGGAGCACACGCCCCCGTCGATGGCTGCATCAGCCGGAGACGACGGAGGCAGCGAGGGTGATGTTCCGCCCGTCAGGGAATCGGAGTTGGGGGCGGCTGTTCTACGGATTCGATCCAAGAACACCGCCCCCGGGCCGGACGGGGTTCCAGCCCGAGTGATGGCCCGAGCCCTCGACTACATGTCGGACCACCTCAGGGGGGTGTTGGACGCTAGCCTGGCGTCCGGACGCTTCCCTGAGCGCTGGAAATGCGGGAAGCTGGTCCTGCTGCAGAAGCCGGGACGGCCTGCCGAATCGGTCGCGGCCTATAGGCCTATCGTGTTGTTGGACGAGGCGGGCAAACTTTTTGAGAGGGTGCTCTCTGCCCGCATCGTCCGGCACCT